ATATAGATACGAAACAATATATATCTTCATATATACTTTTATATGTTTCATATTCTATTGTATTTAAAAAAATATTGTGTTTTTAGTTTATATGGGTTATAGACTTAACAACTATAGTTTATACTTTTTATCAAATCTATAAAATCATTTTACAAAGTTTCAAAACTTGGTTTATGTTAAAACATCAAAATTCAAGTATCTCATGTTTTCATGTTTTTCAAAACTTGGTTTATGTTAAAACATCAAAATTCAAGTATCTCATGTTTTCATGTTTTGGACATATTTACAAAATGATGATATTTTATATTCAAGTATCTCATGTTTTCATGTTTTGGACATATTTACAAAATGATGATATTTTATAAATGGGAGATGTTTTTTTAAAACCAGTTTTTGTAACACGTGTGTTATCATGTTTATAATCATTTCCCAAAGTTTTATATTTTTTTGATTTTAGTTGCTATTTTTAAAAGAAGTTTAAAAATCAGATTACTATTTCAAAACAGGCTGATAACTTGTTATCAGTCGACTGGTAAGTCGACTGATGACATCAGTCGACTGGTAAGTCAACTGATGACATCATTCGACTGATGTGTCGACTGAAGAAATCGTCTGGAATGTCAAAAATTTTTGTTTTATTTTGATCGACTGACCAGACGACTGATGAGATCATCAGTCGACTGATGAGGTCGTCAGTCGACTGATGAGCTGGAAAATACCTCTAACGGTCAGCTCATCAGTCGACTGATGAAAGCCGTCAGTCGATTGATGCTGTAACGACTAGTTTTTTTAGCCTTTTACAGATTTGGGTTTTTAGTCTTTTGGCCTTGTTTTCTCTTGGCTTTGGGGTTCCTATAAATACCCCCACATATCCTCAGTTTCATTAAGTAAAGAAAATTATTTATACAAGTTTAAAAATGTTTAACAAGGGTTTTTAAGTTTGTTTTAGTTTTGGTTTTGGTTTGTGAAGCAATTTTCATAAGAGCAAAGAGGAGATCATCTATTGGTGTTTGAGCATTCAACTCTTCTCCCTCTCTCTTGTTATCTATAAAAAAGTTTCCCTAAACTCAATCTAGCTTTACATTTATATTATTTGATTATCATTTTATTAAGCTAGTGTTTATATTGAGTTTAGTTTGATTTTTTTTTATTAAATCTCATTGTTACACACACCCACTTGAGCTTATAGTATTTCATACATAGTATAATTGAGGTTGTGGGAGATTGTAACTTTGAGTTGTGCTTAATTGAGTTCTCACCTTGTTTAGAGAATAATCATTTGTTGAGTTCCTAATTGTGAGTTACACATTGTACTACACTTGTACACCGAGAGAAGTGTGTGGTGAGAGACGGGGTCGTCCCAAGAGGAGTGGGGTAGGTGGTAATGCCTAGAGAGAGCTTGTAATTCCTAACACCTGAGGGAGACACGAGCTAGAGACCAACACTTGAGGTGGTAGTTAGTGTAGTTACATTGTGAGTGATTGTAAAGTTTTCAGTGAGCTAAAAAACCGAGTGTGAGGTGTAAACTTATTTGGGTGAGCGTAGAAAACCCGGTTGTGATAGTGGAGATCTCCTCGAGGTGAGGAGCGGAGACGTAGGTCGTGGGAACCGAACTCTGTGAACATATCGTTTGTTTGTGATTGCATTGGAGCACTTATTTTATGTTCATATCTTGTATCGCATTTGTATATTGCTTGTTGTTTATATTGCCCACTATCTAGTTTAGCTTGTTTACCCTTGTGTTATTTGTATATCCTTACATATATATTATAATATATCATTCTTGCTAGGATATATTTATTAATTAGTTTTAATTTGTCATAAATCGGATTAGATTAGCATAAACTCTATTCACCCCCCTCTAAGGTTCCTTCCGAATGGCATTAAGGTGCTTTCAAATGGTATCAGAGCTTGGTGCTCTTTGATTTAAGGTCTAATCGTCTTGAGTTAAAGATGCAAGTTATCTTATTGTGCTAATCTAGTATTGATTGTATTTGCATTGCTTGCATATTTTTACAATTATGGATATGTATGGCACATCTTGTTTAGGCTATGATCCTAGTATTGCTCCTAAACTCAATGCTTTCCCATATGACCAATGGTATTTTAGATTTAAAATATTTGTTGAATCTAAGAATATCGATTTGTGGGAAGTTATTGATAATGCTTATATTATGTCTTCTTTAGAAAAATTCAAGTGGAGCAAAAATGATAAAAAGATGTTTACAATGAACAAGCTTGTGTTAGAGTTTTTATTAAATGCTTTCAGCTCCACTCTCACTTGAAGTGGAATCTGCCAAAACACGTCAGATCTCCTCCAAGTTTTCTTGATGTGCCTCTATATATTTCCATAACGTATAGACACTATCAAGATGAGCAAGCTTGTTAGATATAGATGGTTCAAAAACTTTAAGTAAAAAATCGAACAATAACTTGTTCATTGTAAACATTCTTTTATCATTATTGCTCTAGCTACTTGGATTTCTCCAAAGTGGGCACAATATAAGCACATTCAATTATTTCTCATAAATCGATATGTTAGATGTGATGTATTTTTAAACCAAATGTTTAAACCGTTATTTTTGTCCCTAAGTTGCATATTTTACTGTTATTTGCTATGTGAATACAATGTATTTTAAAACCAAATGTTTGAAATTTTTTTGTTCCTTTTTATACTAATGTCGTAGAATAACAAGCAATAGATGAGTTTCTTTTCTATAAACTGAAACTCTTATCTTCATTTATTTTTAACATGACCCACTTGAAAGGGTTTTCCATCTATAAACCTAAAGTCTTACCACCATCTATTTATTTTTACGACTTTTCTATAGAGTGCTCATGGGCACTCTATAAGAGCATCTCCAACAGCTTCCCCAAAATTTTCTCCAAAATGGAGAAACAAAAGTCATATTCTCTAAATTATTTTTGCTCCAACTCCAACAGCTTCCCCATTTTAAAAAATCACATTTATTACAATAATAAAGCTCTCCCTAAAAATTTGGAGAATGCTGCAGATTTGGGGAAGGCTCTCTATTTTTTCTCATTCTTCCCTATTTTGGGGAATGAGATGGGGAATCTGTTGGACCAAAAAAAAGCTCTATATTCCCCAAAATTGAGTATTTCAAGAAGATGGGGAAGCTGTTGGAGATGCTATAAGAGAGGAGAGAGAGAAATGAATAGCTCATAGACCTCTCTGATTTGCATTAATTTCTGTGCATAATTCATTTCTCTCTCTCTCTCTCTCTCTCCCTCCTCTCTTATAGAGTGCCCATGAGCACTCTATAGAAAAACTGTTACTTTTAAACCATCTACTTACAGATCATCCTTAGACACAAATACTCCACTGAATTAATTTTTAATCCACTACTTATTTCAATAATTTAGTACATGTTGTAAGTAGCATTATCTTTATTGCAGCTTGCTATATTGTTTGTTCTGAGTTGTTAGATATACAATGCCATTTTAGCCAAATTGTTTAGCCCGGCAATGCGTGAGAAAATTTTGCCTATATATACTACAGCTATTTAGCCCACCCATATGCAGAAATGCTCAAAATGTTTTTCACCTATAGACCCAAGTTTTGTTCCAATTTATTCCCTAGCCCACTAATTCCTGAAATGGCTCAAAATGCTCCATCAACGTTCATAAAAATAATATCATAATACTATAAAGCATAATATCAATAATTATTTTCCTGTAAACTCAAAGTCTTACCTCCATTTATTTTGAAACAAGTTCACTTATAAAATGACTCTTTAACCAAAATACTTCATTGAATTATTATTAAACTTGCTTTTTAAATATATTTTATTGTAACTTTAATTGGTATACGTTGTTACATTTTATTATAATTTTCTATATTTTTATTCTAAGTGATTAGCTTCACTTTGTATTTTTAAAACAAATGGTTAAACCATTATTTATTTATTTTTGCTTTTTTCACACCAATGTCAGGACATTGCAAACCGTGGATTTTTTGAGTACGGACCCAAAATTTTACCCTGATTTATGGGTTATTTGCACTATGATACCCTAACATTTACATCTTTTTTTAACTTTGATACCCCAAAGTATTTATTTGACATTTTGATACTCAAGGCTTACACCTTTTTTTGAATTTGATACCCTCAAGTTTTTTCAAAGACACATTTACGTCCAAAATTTACAAATTATTTAACTTTGAGGTACCCAAATTCATAAAGGTGTATACTTTTACGATATCAAAATGTCAACAAAAAACTTTAGGGCATTAGAGTTTAAAAAAGGTGCAAACTTTGGGTATGTAAGTGTCAAAAAAAACTTTAGGATATCAAAAGCTAAAATTGGCCAAATTTTGGGGTACCAATGTGCAAATAACCTCCAATTATTTCTTTATTTGTCTCACTTTCAACATCGCTATCAGACCCAAACTTTGTCCACCCAAAGTTTTACCCAGCCAGAGTTTTGCCCAATCTATTTTTTAACCCACCCAGTTTCAACATCACTCGTCTAAGGGGGGGTTAGTCACATAGAACTTAAAACTGGAACTGGGATAATTTGTGGGATAATTTTTTAAGGTGTTAGTCACATAGAATTAGAAAATGGGATATTTTTTTATAGTGTTAGTCAAGTAGAACTTTTTTAGAACTAGAACTGCATTATTTTTTTGGTGCGTTAATCAAATAGAATTCTACTAGAAATAGAATTGTGATAATTTATCATAATTATCCCACTAATTATACTACCTATATATATAGCCATAAATTCACCTCTCAAAAATTATCCTCCCCATTGAAAAGAAACAATCAGGAATAAAATTGAAACGGCGCTTCCACCTCCCGCCGTCCGCCGACGCTCCGAGTCCTCTTTCCATTGCGATGCGGCTCCGCCCTAGAAAATTGATACCGTACTCTCTCTGCAATCGGCGATACATTCTTTGCCAGTGCGTAGAAGAAATCGGGACGTATACTTTTCTCTGGCTTCATCAACTCCTCCGGCGCCGTCCACGAGATCAGGTATAGCTTCAGTTGATGATCAGGCCTTTAATTTTCTTGTAATTAGATCAAAAAATCGATTCCTTTTTCTAATTAGAACATGATACACAAGCTTTTATGATTAGGGTTTATATAAAATTAGGGTTTATGTATTTTGTCTACATCTGTGCTGGTCAATTTCCTAATGACATAGAACAACTCAGATAAATTGTCAATTTCCTAATGACATAGAACGGATTGTATTTTTTCTACATCTGTGCTGGTCAATTTCCTAATGACATAGAACAACTCAGATAAGTCAAGCAGTTTAGATTTGTAATTTGTCAATTTCCTAATGTCAATTTCCTAATGACATGTTATTTCTTAATTATTCAACATTGTAGAGCGATCAATTGGTCTTTTAACCATGCTAATGACATTACCTGAACCCTCAAGATAAGTCAAGCAGTTTAGATTTGTAATACTTTTAAGGTTTTTACAGAATAATTCTGCATTCATTTGCAGAAAAATCAGAATGGAACTTATGTAACTATGATCAAGTACCACCAGAACAAAAAATTTATACCTCCAAACATGCACAACTGGTTTGGTCACTTCCAGTCACCTCCCATCCATCCCCACATTTTTTAAGCTTTATAACATATTTGGCATTCAAGCATTGCTTAGTTACTGTTCTGTTTGCATTCCTATCCTCATTTCTGATACCATCTGACAAGCTAGAAGATAAACAGGGAATACTCGCAAAAATAGCAAGCTCGCCAGGACAAGAAAAGTTGTCCTCTATTCTTCGAGTAATATTAGTCTCGACTAGCCAAGAATGAGGGACACAATACCCCTTCTTCCCACTGAATGTTGTCTGAAGCATTTGGGAATTAATCTGGATCATCTTCTTGGTCCAGTCACTGGGATACCGAATTCTTGAACCATCAACTGCTGTGATCACATCCCCATGTGACAAATAACCAGATAAAGCAGAAGTTTGAGGAACCTCTAGAACCCGTCCCAAAGTTGCAATTTAGAATGAAATATGTGGCAATAGGGAGTAAGTTGACTGAGTTTTAAAAGACCTACTGTGGGAGCTTCACCATGTACATAAAGAGGAGACAAGACAAAGGGAAGCAGGAACATCATTATCCAACAAACTGCACAGAACTTGAAAACAAGTTACGTTTCTGTTAGATGCTTTTACCCACTTTTGACTTTACCCACATGTCAACCATAGCTTAGAACACTGATCACTATTAACTAGTGCTAGTGACATAGAACAAGTCATTTCATAAGAAAAAATAAAACTCATCATACAGCACTCTATTTACATAGAGTTAGAAACGGAAACCTTTGATAGATACAATTCTATTTTTAGTGATTCTCATATTAAGAAGGGTTGTTAGTCAGAAAGCTGTTCTTTTCTTAACAAATAAATTTGTGGTTACATCAAATATCTGTGCTTTTGTGTCCAATCCTTCAAATCTCATGCCGGATCAAGTGGGGTTTTTGATTTCAAGTCTGAAATTTTATTTGCATTTTCATTGTATATTTTGATGTGTGTAGTTCATATTGGTGGCCTTGTTCAGGGAGTATCTAACTATAGAATAATTGCAAATCTACACCTGATTTCATCATGTGCTTGCTATCATTTGAGACTAGTACCATAAAATGTACATATTTTGATCCACATGATTGGAGTCTTCTCTTCAGTTAATATCTGCATCATATTTATCTCAAATAATTTCTATTATTATAGCTTAATGCATCTTGCTTACTAACTACAATATTGCTTATAAAGCATTTGTCATATTTAGGAAAGCTTGATATTGTTGTTGGTTAATCAAATTCTCATTTGATTGAACTTCTGGTGACTACATTTTGTCATGCATACTGGATGTTGTTTTCAGCCAAATCCAAATGCAGTGATATTTTCTATGTCATGCAATGAAAGCATCAATATTTTTTATATAATGCCATAAAGCAGCATGTAAGTAGAAGTTTTGTTTTTGTTAAGTTATAATTGGAGCTTCAGTGTCTGCAAGCTGTGTACTATTTTTGGAGAAATTCTTAGGTGCTATTAGAAGGTACTGACAGTTTAATGAAATTAACTGTTTCTATTTTATTGCAACTGCCTTTTGCAGCAAGGTATTATTTTTAGCCTATTATTAGCTCCTTTTACATGTTGGGGATTCTGGAGCACATAAACAAAGCACACAATAAGAAGTGTAGGTACTAATACAAAAGAAAGAGTTTTTTACGTGATTCTATAATCCATGGTTCTATAATCCACCTGTAGCTTGAAGAAAAATTACACACCTTCCCATATTTATCCACACAGATGTTTCCAGCTTGTCTTTGTAGGAGCTGAAGCCTAATAACCCGAAAATCTTCATCTGTGTTCACATTATTATTATATATGTGCTTGTTCTTTTTATATTAGATGCATTTATATTTTAATCCAATTCCATATTTGAGATTATGAAAAGTTATTTTTGAATTTGTTATAGGATGGACATAAGATCACAGAGTCAAAATCAAGAAGAAATATTTCGAGGTCAAGAAAGTGAGGGACAGAAAAAAGCAAGGATGGATTATATGATATGGACTGAAGCAGAGGCTAATGAATTGCTTAGACTGTTAGTAGAGGAAGTTAAGAATGGAAATAAACAAGCAAATGGCAGTTTTAAAAGCATGTGATTATGAGGAATGTGATACCCCCTCTGGTTGAAAATTTTGGAAAAGATTTTAGATATAATCATGTAATGAACAAGATAAAGCAATGGAAGAGAAAGATTGCACCTGTTGAGATCCTGATGAAAAATAACTCTGGTTTTGGTTGGGACCCTAGCACACAGAAATTTACTTGTCCTGACGAAGTGTGGAATGGCATTTTAGAGGTTGGTTTATGTCATATTATTTCCATATTCTCTCTCTCTCTCTCTCTCTCTCTCTATATATATATAAAGCACGCTTAGAGGAAGTGGTTGGGGAGGGCATACTTGGTGCTGATGCTAAGATGGAATCTCCGGATGGAGGAGATGATGCTGTAGATATGCAACATGCTACCACCGTTCCCACTGATAATGTGCCATTATATGGTTCTGGACCATCCACTCTGAATAATGGTAAACGAAGGCGTAGGTCAATTGGTACTGCAGGCACATCCTCTGCATCTTCCCAGTTATCGTTGCAAGAGGTAGGAGAGGGAGTTGTTACTGTAGGTAAAGCTTTTCATGAGTTAGTTGATGAGTTGAGGAAGATAAGAAAAGGTCGGAATAAAGAATGGGTTGATGCTGTTATGTCTACTTCTGAATTGACTAAGCCACAAAAATGGAATATCCTCAGTGACAATATCTCACAGGACATGAAGGATGCATTTATTGACATGGATGCAAAAGACAGCTATGAGTTTCTATATTTTAGGTTGACTGGTGAGATAATGAATGATGGTAATGATGGGACTCAAGCCAATTCTGATCCAAATGGTGAACATTATGATTCTGATTTCTTTGAAGATGTTTAGAGGCAATAATTTATAAGTTTAGGATCTTTCTATGTTTTTTAAGATTTGTTATGGTGTTAGGATTATGAGGAATTTCATATTGTCAAACTATTTTTCATTGAATAGGTGGAACTTGGGATAATGTCATGTTTTTAGGATCAATCTTATTTCAATTTGTCAAAACTATTTATTTTTAGGATGTGCTATGCTTTTGTTTTTTTTGTTTATATTATGTTCTTATGTTATTTGACTTGTCAGCTATCTTACTTTGTGATCAGTCCCATTGTGTGCTAATAATAGAGTGCTTTATTTATTTCCTATGCACATAAGTTTCAAGTAAAGTGATTATATTTCATTGGTTATATTACTTAATAGGATGGAGGAAGATCAAAATTTGCCCATTTTATATTTTCATCATGAAGACTTCGATGATAATCTTTTGATTCGCATAATCGAATTAGCTGCTGAGGCTGCAGATCTGATCACAAAGATATCAGGACTTCTATCACAGGAGTTCATAGCAAATACGCTTAATTTTCGAAGTCCTCGACGTGGTATTACAGATCTTGGTCTCACATACTTACAGTCCAAGATGGATAATCATCCACAAGATTTTCGTAGAATTTACCGCATGTACCCAGATTGCTTCATGAAGTTATGCAATATCTTGAGAGAGCGGGGCCATATACAAGACACATACCACATTAGTGTTGAGGAGATGATTGTTATTTTTCTTCTTACGGTTAGTCAGAATCAACGATACTCTGTTGCAACGGATCTATTTGATCGTTCAAAATGGACCATCAGTGTATGTTTCAATAAAGCATTACAGGCCTTGGTAACTTTAGCATCATGCTTGATGGCATCACCCCCTACTGATCCACCTGATAAGGTTAAATCAGAATCCCGCTTTTGGCCTTATTTCAAGGTAATTCTTATTGCTTTAGATTTTACACACACGCAGACACACATGCGTGCACGCCCACACACACATCACTTGAGATGGTCTGACACATTAATTATTCAGGACTGTATCGGTGCAATAGATGGGACTCATATACCGTGCATGGTGTATAACATAGATCAGACGCCCTATCGAAATAGACATGGTTTTCTCTCTCAGAACGTCTTGGCAGCTTGCACATTTGATCTCAAATTCATTTATGTCTTAGCTGGGTGGGAGGGTTCTGCTAATGATGCAAGAGTCTTGAAGGATGCAATGAGTAGACCTTATGGACTTCCACTTCCACAGAGTAATAATATTTTTATATATATTTTTTCTATCAATTAAAGAATATTTTTTAGTTTTATAAATTTTATCTAGTTGACTGCGGCTATCCAAATAGGCTACAATTTCTTGCTCCATACCGAGGTCAAAGGTACCATCTTTCAGAGTTCGGCTCAGCTAATAATCGACAACGACCACGAAATTCAAAAGAAGTTTTCAATCATCGGCATGCGTCTCTTAGAAATTGTGTCGAGCGCATCTTTGGAGTTTTTAAGTCTAGATTCACTATTTTCAAGAGCCAACCTCCAGGTTTTCCATATGCCACACAAATAAAGATGTTCGTTGCATGCGTAGGATTGCATAACTTTTTAAGATTGGAGAATACAAATGATGACTTCGATATTTATGATCTTCCACTAGAAGCTCCACGAAATGTTGCTGATGCAGATGATGATTCCGATGAAGAAGATGAGTTACAGACTCAACAGACTCAACGAGCAGCTGCGGGAGCTTGGAGAAATTCTATGGCAGAGGCCATGTGGGATGATGGAAGTCGAGTCACTCTAGGGATTTAGATTTTTATTTAGTTGTAAAATATTTTATTATTTGAGATGAATAGTGATGTTTTATTACATTATATTTTATAGTTATTACTAGACTAATCAATTGCTTATCAATCTTATATTTATTTTAATATACAATTATTAACAATAATAATTTATACCCACCATTACTCTACCAAATTATCCTACCAAATTATCACACTTCATAAAATTATCCACCATTATCCCACTAAATTATCCTATCAAATTATCCCACTTTAAGAATTATCCATCATTGTTCCACTAAATTATCCCAGTGTTAAAAAATTATCCCATAAAAGAACTTCATGAAATTATGTTTAGGATAAATTTTTAAAATAGGCCCCTTTAGAAACTTATTTTCAAAAAATAATCTTTTTTGACAATATTTGTCATTTTCGACCTAGTTTCAGTCACCTAGTTTCAACATTACTCGTCTCAAAGAACTCAATTAAATTATGTTTAGGATTTTTTTTTAAATAAGCCCATTTAGAAACTTATTTTTAAAACTTATTCTTAAAAATAACCCATTTTGAAAATATTTGTAATTTTTGACCTAGTTTCAGCCAGCTGGCTGAAACTGGGCCGAAAATGACAAAAAAAACATTAAAAACTTCACGTGATTTTAAATCTCATGAAGTTTAAGGCCTCATTAGTGCTTGTGTTAGTGTTAAGGAGGCCTTAAATGAGACATTAAACTTCACGGGATTTAAAATTCCATGAAGTTTTTGATGTTTTTTCGTCACTTTCAACTCAATTTCGGCCAGGTGGTTGAAACTAGGTCGAAAATGGTAAATATTTTTAAACGTCGTAGTTTTAAAAAAATAAGTTTGTAAAGGGGTCTATTT